CCCTACTTAAAGGAAACAGAAGGTGCAAAAACAAAAATCTGCCTCAGTCCAGACAATTTATTTTGCAACACTATTACGAGCCTGGAACCAAATAAAACAACTTACACAGCTGCTGCTGACACAAGGCTGTCAATACTTTCATTTCTCCTACAGATAAATCATGAGATCAGAAATAGCAGATGCAGTTTGTGTTGTCTGGTATTGGGTTCTTTTTCCCCTTATGTATGTGACTGTTTTAGCTTTACAGGTGTCAGAATTCAACAAGACTAATAAAGTAGTCTTGTTGGTTGAATTAATGTACATGTTGACCATTTCAATTAACTTCTGCCCAAAATGACATTTGCTGGGCTCTTTAATGTGTCTCAGCAAGACTGTCCTATGAGCAAAAGGGAAAATAACGGTTAACAGGAAAGACGACTCCTGGAGTATTTTCTATTCTATATTCTTTAACTCTTATTTTCTGTCTCTGCACAAGAACAAGCATTTCAGGGCTATGTTGGCCAACAGAGTCCACAGAATGTGATTTCTAGTTTTGAAAACCTGAAGCTCGTTTTAATTGCTCAACATTGCATGATGACAAGGATATCAACCCAGCAGCTGTTGGCTGAGCTAGACATTCAGTTCTTCTGACCCCAAAACATGTCAAGTGATGAAAAACCAACCAAACTCCAATTAAGTTGCTCTAATAATTATTTTCCCACTATCATTTCTGCTTGCATTATATGCAGCTTGAAATGTCGTTTCAATTTTCATGTAATTGCAGTCCTCATTTCTAATAATAATTTTTAATAGCTACTTCGAATAACTTCTCTAAACGGTAAAGAGCAGTAAACAGCAGGATTTTACTTCTCTCCATGCATGGACTTGGAGGCTGTGATCAAACAAGATCTTAAAGGTCTTTGCAACATTTTTTTCATCCCTTGGAAGATCATGTTTTCCACATCTCACCTCATCCATGCAGCTCTCCCCGAATCCCTTTTGATATCCCAACAGGAACTTTACATTCTAGACACCCAATCAACTATAAAGTTTCATTATTATTTCCCAGAGCTATTCGATCTTCCCCCTGCATATAAATACAAAGATCACGTTTTTTCTAGTAGCTACCACTTCCCACTGCTAGATTTTTGTCCAGGGTCTTACCCTCCACATGTTACATGTCATTTTTTGAGCAACCTCCTCATAAAACAATGCCCCCCCACTGTAAAGAGCACTGCACATCATGGGGTTTTAGCTATATCGCATGCATTATAGAGCTATATAGCATGCATTTAGCTTAATTAAGTTACAGTGATGTAGTTAATGGGGAGGAGGGAGGAAGAAGGCAAGAAGAAAACAATTTCCATATTCTGGATATGCAGAGCAGAAGGTTGCAAGGATAGAGGAGATAGCTTGATGATGTTTGAACTTATGGACTGAATAAGCGGATGTGGGAATCAGAGGAACAAAGAATATGTAGGAATACTACATGAATAACAGCCGGTCTCAGACCTGGAACACAGGCAAAAGATTTGGTTATGCCTGTATTTGTTGTGGGGTTATTTTTCCCCTCTCTTGTAATATGTTATTTTGGCTCCTTTGGACTTTTTATTGTCTTTACAACACTGTAGGGTACAGGGAAGCTTTCTACAGTCCGGGCTAATTTCAAGAAAACAAAATCATCACCCTGCAGTTCAATTTTTTCTTCTGTGTAAAGCAATTACCTCCCTGCCCATTTGCAGAGCCTCTATAAAGGAAGCCTCTCAGCTTCTCAAGGACATTCAGCACCAGAACAGTCAAACACCTCAAATATCAATAATATATGACAGAACACCAACACTTACCTTGCCAGGCTTGTTTGCATCAAAGCTGTTTTCTTTAAATTTCTCCTGCAGGGTCTCCGCTAACCGACAAAGCAAGGCACCATTATCCAATTTCTCCATAAATGTTTCTGCTGTTATTTCTCTACCTGAACAGCAAAAGCAGAAAATTAGCATGGCAAAAAAAAAAAAAGAAAAAAAAGTTGGACAGTAGATACGGCATTTGTAAAGAAAAAGAGCATGACCCAAATGCACCAAAATCAAAAGAAATCTTTAGAGCCATTTGAAATGTGCCTTAACTGAATAATTACTTAAGAGTACTTGGCGAGTAATCTCACTACTCTTTTACTGGTAAAGGTACAGCAAATTAGCCAAACTGCTTTCTTTGGAAGGGTAGATGTTACCAGAAAAATGATTCAAACGGGTCACAATTTGCATCTTTATTTTACTTATGTAACTCAAGGATTTTATCACAGTACTTTAAAAAACAGACTGCAGCAGGCAAACAGTTTACACCAGTGTGTGGAATTATTTACAGGGTCAGTGTCACTAAACACTTTTATTGCAGCTTGTTTTCAAGCACATTTAGGAAGAAAGGAGATTTTTCTTTAGCGTTATTATTCAGCATTTTATTTAGCATCATTTAGCATCTCGATCCTTTGAGCAAGAAGGTGACAAAACACTGTAATAAGCTCCTTCTAAAGAGCTTTTCAAAGTAAAATTAGATTTTTTTTTTGGAAACAAAACAAACCCTTATACAAGATACCTAAACAAAACTTTCACATAAAGAAAAACAAAAATCTGATTTGCTAATATATACTTGTGCTCTAGTTGCTGCAAATCCTCTTTTGCTACTGCCTCCCTGATCCAACCATCTGCCATGAAACTGCCATTACATTTTCCTAAAGGAGACATCATGAGAGATGATGAGCAGGTTGGCCACGCTAAATGAGAAGGGAACTGTTTACCACGCAACTAAACTCCCAGCATGACAACAACATCTCTAAAATAAATAATGAAAACAACAGCCTGTTTCTTGTTGAAGCTGTTCTGTTTTGACATGCCCACTGGAAAATGTAGTCACTTTTCTGAGCAGCTGCACTTTTCCAACAGTCTCAACTTCTACCAATGTCAAGAGAGCATGAAGGGCTAATTCTTGCTCTTCCTACTTAGACAGGACTTTTGACCTCCTCTGTGATATATACATATGACATTTAGGAACTGGAACGACAGTAGGAGCTCATTTTTATAGGCTGTTGGACAGCACCCGTAAGGCAACCATTTCCTATAGTGCCAAAAACCCCCAGTCTGTAGTGAGAGCAGTTCCCTCTCCCATATCCTCTCCGCCTACCCAAGCCTGAGCTCTCAACAAGAGCAGGAGGAACAGGAGACATCTGCCCACTGCTGGTGGACTGGTTTTGCTACAGATTGGTGGCCAAAAAAGCATCTGCCAAGGATTTTTCCAGAGAGACGTCAAGAATTTGTTTTCAATAAGAGGTCTGGAAACAGAGAACACTCACCTGATTTTTCTAATACATTTCTACTTCAGAAACATCTGTTGGAGACTTTTTTTTCCATTTTATTCTTTTTTTTGCCTCAATTCTGTGCCACACAGCCCACTCTGTAGCCCCCAGATACCAAATGACTTCTCCAGACAGCTGAGGCCAGGGCTGAAGTTAGAACAGCCCTAGATACCAAAATGCAGCATCTCGTCACTTCAAAAGCCCTTATCACCATTCTAGTCCACGTTTTTCTCAATTTTAATAATCAAACATTTTCTATTTTACCCCATCAGCATTTTTGGGAAAAGCTATAAACCCCTCAGAAAGTTGAAAAATTACCATATTCCAGGAATTGCTGTATTTTTAATCTAGTATTGCTTTTTTATTATTATTATTCCAGGTTCATGTTCTTTCATAACTATATTTCTAATGTTTTTACCCTAGCAAAGGTGGGTTTTTTTGTTTCAGAAAGCACAACTATACACAGGATATGCTGCCTCGATAAAAGACTCACATTCTACCTATCTACTCTGTCCCATGATTTATAGATATGTTATTTTCCTGGTCAAATCTTACAAGAAAGCCAAAACCTATTTCAAGTTACAGACTCTTTAAGCAGATATGGAAAAACAGTTCTATCTCCTGCTGCCTTTTAACAATGCATTTATATTATTTTCAATGCTGAATCGCATTAGTGGTTTGGTCACTACATATTGTACATTAAGCCAGAGTATTTCAGTTCTGTTCCCTTTTTATGAAAGCTGAAAGAATGAGTTTTGCACTGAACATCTGTATCCAATGAAAAATATATTAGGTGTCAGCTTTCAATTCGCTGTATTTTATGGCTCCAAAAGGTGGCATTTCTTTGCTAAAACAGACACTCTGACATATTTAACAGTTGAAATGTATTGATTCAAATGAGAGTAATGTTCATAGCCTGAGGAAAAAAAGGCTCTGTATATTTGTATGGAAAAAACATTAAACTCCATTAAAAATGCATAACTCCCCCCATAATTACAAGAAAGCAGTTGCAATGTTTTTATAGAATGGTAATAACATATATAATAAAAAAACACTACAAGTATGAAAAATGACAGCAATACAAAAGCTTGCGAGCATTGCTTACCCCCTCTTTTAATGTAGCAATTGGATGCCTCTTAAAAAGAGGAGGCCTTTAAGGATTGAAGGGCTCTTGCTTGGGAGCAGCTGTCCCTAAGGCCACATAGTCCTGGGGGCCCTCGTGCAACCAGACAGGGAGGTCCGGGCACGAAGGACCAAGTGAGTGTGGAGAGATCCAGAAAGCTAAAATAAAGTCCCAGCATCCAGTCGGCTTCTCTATTACTGCAGCATTTAGTGCCTGCAACGCAAAACCTTGACTCAGATGGAAACATTTCACACGGGCAAAGCCCAAATGCATCAGCAGAACTGGTTCCATCTTGACACCAAGGCTATTGTGTGTGCTAGAATAGCTAACAGTGAGGGAAATAGTTTTGGTCTCGTGCAGGCATCCTTGTTTCCTTGGGAAGGAACAAAGCAGCAGTCCCAAGAGCACGCTCTGGCTCGGGAGCGCCATACAGCCTCTCTACCAAATGAGAAGCGGTGCCAGAGTTAGCAGAAGAACTACAAGTGTCCTGAGTGCCGTGATATTCAGGGATATTTAAAGCCTTGATGTCCCCATTGGCTTGAGCAGAACACACAGATGCTGAAACTAGGGTCCTGCTACAGCATCTGTGGGACACTGGTAACTGCAGGAGCTGGTACAGGTTTCGCTCTCATTCAAAATATAAGAAAGTTTTCCTTGAGGTTTCCCACCTTTCCTTCCCCAGATTTCCCACCTTGCCTAAGGCTCTCACCTCCCTGCTCCTTCTCTCCCATCCTCAATGGTCCCCAGCTCCGTGTAGTCGCCAGGGTCTTCCATGGGGTGCCCCAACAGCCCTGTTGGAAATAGGCTGCACCGCTGAAATCTCGGAGCTTGGACGTGTCCCCTTCACTAGGGCACATCTCAACCCTCAGAGGGTAGTTGCAATCTGGGACACTCCAGAGGGGCAAGAAGGCGGAGCTGGAGCCAATAGCCCATGAGGAACCAAGGCTTCTTTTACCTCTTGGAAGCACACACTAGGGGAGAAACCACTGATGAGCTGCAGTCCTGACTTCAGCCCTTTCCAATCTCCACACGCACACGAGACGACGAGAGCACAGCCAAGGGCAAAGCCAACTTGCTTTCAAATTGCCATTTTGCCTCCTCACCATTGGGCTGCATGGATCTTCTAGAGAATTCCCATGTGAGGCTTGCCCAGGGAAGAAGCGCAGAAGTTCCCAGGATCAATAAAGAGGACGCTTCTAAACTAATTACACAGATGCTACTAAACTAATTATTTATTTTATAAAATAAGCCATGTTTTTCCCCTGCTGATGCACTCTCGAGTGCTTCGTTGGCTTTGTGCATACTAAAACCAAGGCCAGACAAGCTGGTGTGTTTCTTTTCAACCCCCTTTGTCAAGGTTTTTCCTCTGAGCTTCTGGGGCATCGCTTCAAGGATAATTAGCAGAATGTGTAAAACTTACCAGCAATTACTACAAAACAATGTCCACTTTCAAATAAAGTGTCTTTAATTTTCATGGTTACAAATTCGTAGAAAGCATTTGGGTTTTTTTTGTGCCCAAACACCATGTATCTCAGTCTTTCAAGCTGCACCTCAAATAAGGTCAAATTCTAGCTGCAGTGCCTAGCTTCTCTAACATCAAAAGCCCTTTATTCATATCACGAAGTGCAGTATTATTTTTCTGCTCTCCAGTTTGCAATTCTGAACTGCAACCATGATTTGCTGGTACAAAATTGTCAGCATTTTGACTTATTGAACTGGGCACGTTCATCCCCTGAGGAATTCCAAAACACCAGCAGTTTGCAAAACAACTAGCACGTAAAGAGGTTCAGCCCACATTCCTGCCTGAAAGATATTTTGTTATATTCAAAATCTACGCTGATTTGAAAAGTAGGCCAGACTCTGAATGCCTCTCATTTGTCTTCACTGGTTCATAATACAAACAAATGAACAAAGTGCAGATGAAACAGAACATGAAACAATGCTGTAAAAATAAAATATATACTAATTTGCTTTACAGTATAAATTGAGTAGTTTTATTTTGTTAAAACTGCTGTCCCAGAACAGGTATTTTGTGCATCCATATTTTGGCCTGCTCTGTGCTATCTGCAGATCTGTTCAGTTGAGAACCTACTGAGCATTACAGCAAAGTAGGTTATTCCCCAATAAGAGAGGAATGAAATACCTTGAATGTTCCTCTGGATACTGAAAAGGACAAAGTTACAGAACCTATTTGCTATTTAAGGAAGGTAGTGGCACGCTGTAAATCTATACTACTTATCCTACGGCAATGTGCTGTGTGCCCCTCCTGTGAAAGCTAACCTAAATTAGGGTCATTAAAACAAATTTGAGGTCTGAGTGAATATTTGTGTACTAATTTACTCCCACTTATTTGGAATGTAAATTTTAAATTAATTGACTTATTAATTTGAATAACAAGGTCTACACAGGGATTTAAACAGTGCAACATCAGCCCTTTAAGTCTCCTGGCAGTGTGTGGAGACTAGTTCTTAGGAAAGAGGAGCCTGGATGTGGGAAGGTGTGGGGGATTGCACTGAACAACTGCACTGTGTATGCTGCTTAATTAACAGAAGGCTGTGCCCATTTAGCTCTGCTACACAGTTTGGTGTCCATATGAAAAATCAGATTTTTAATTATACTTGGCATTTCAGAACCTCCTGCTGGTTGCTACTTTCTTGCTAAAAAAAAAGTGACCTCATTCCTAATCTTGTCACTGTGAGAACTCTGCTATGAACTGCAAACAAACTCCTATTTGTTCTAGGGAGGCTCCCCAGAAGTCTATTGTTTAAAACATTTAAACAATATATCAGATCCTTCATGGAACATGCATCTTCTGATGCAGAAAACAGTCTCTTGGATTGCTGTCTGGTGCTCAAGGGGAACGAAAAAAAAAAAAGTCAGAATTCCTAGATTTTCTTTGGGCATTTCCTAGAGGCTTTTTGGAAATTTTCATTAATTTAATAGAAGCAGCACAGAAAGCACGTGCAGATTCAAGGCAACGGATATGAACTACTACTGGGCAATATCGTTCTGAAGTTTCAAATATGGCTTTTGCCAGCAGGATGCTCTATCTCACCCAAACAAATTTCCCAAAAGAAACCCCCTTGCTGACAAAGTTCATCCAAGCTCTCTTCAACATGATGACAGAACAAGTCCCAAGTAGATATCCTATGGGTTGCAATTTTAAACTATTTTTAGTTTGGTAAAATTGATGATGCCCCATCATCAATAACCTATAGGAATTACTGTTCCAAAAACCAAAGGTAGTAGGGATTTTTAAATTTTAAGTACTATTCAGTGAAATTTTGTGCAAACTGGAGTGAAAACTACTCAGAAAATTTCCTTATTATCACTTAGCTCTAAAATAGTTTCTCCTCTGTTTAATGAAAGTTGTATCCATTAGGATTTTTTTTTTTAAACAAATCCTGTATTTCCTCAATAGAATCCAAGAATCCTTTTAACTAAACTGGGAGTATACAAAAGGCATTTTGCCTGAATGCTCCCACCATAGAGCAGGTTATTTCCTCGCTCCTGGTCACTAAATCCTACCTTCTCCTATATCCCACAGGACCATCCCTCTCCTTTCTTCTGGGGACATTCTCATTTGTGTCTCTTGACATCTCATTGTGTTATTTTTCTTGGCATTGCCTCCCCTTTAGCGAACAAACCCATTTCTGCTTCTCCTATCAAGACCCCCCCCAGCTGCCCATACCAAATCTGCAGGTCCCAATGGTGACCACTTGGTCCAACCCACAAGCTTCCAACACATCTCATCTCACACTGCCTTCCTTGAAGCAGCTACGCACCAGCACTGGGCTGCTGGGCAGCAAAGAGCTTGGCCACTGCTCCTTCCTTTCCAGGTGGTCAACAGGTTGGAAAAGACCTTCAAGAGCATCAAGTCCAGTCATAATCCCTGAAGACAGTAACGGCTGAACCCTATCCCTAACTGCCTCATCCACATGTTCCTTGGACACTGCCATGGATGGTGACTCCAGTACTTCCCTGGGCAGCCTGTTCCTATGCTTGACTACCAGCCTGCACGTAGCCATCAGGAGGTCTACCCAATAAAGATGAAAGATGGGCTTGTTAGCAAGTGTATCATCCTCCAGCATTAACATAGAATACACAAGGAAGAGAACATTCACATGAAAATGTGAAGAATAAACATCATGGGAATGAAGTCCAGCTCTATAGCTCCCTTGGAGCTGCCCTATTTGGACACTTGGAGATGTCCTACTCATAAGCTTTGCACACACTGCTGATAGCTGCATGAGGTGGAGCTGACTAATTGCAACTCCTTGCATGTCTGAAAGGAAAAACACCCAGGGCATGGCGTTCCTAGCTGACCACACATGGAGCTCTCCTCCTGCCGAGTGCAACTTGTCAATAACTGCATTTGATCTTGTTTTTAACCTTACCCAGCAGGTTTGTGAGCCATAGGGCCAAGTCCTCTTTCATCGGCAGCAAGTTGGCCTCATGTCTACTGGCAAGCCACTGGCTGTACTGGTGCATATCAGAGAGGCCAGGCCCACGTGCCTTGGGGCTCAGAGCCGTGCACATTGTCTATCCACTTGTCCGACCTGTTTTATTGTTGAAAGAAAAAGAGACGTTAGTTACACCGAATACAACTTTGCAGTTTCTCTTTCCAGAATGGAAACAGGCAGTAACATTAACTACAATGGCAAGAAATCAGGTGTCAAACAGATGTGGACCTAGCACATGGATGTAACAGAGGACTGAAGCCTTGCTTGGTTAACGGATCACACAATTAAACTGTGTAGATAAACGTCATCTTCACTCGTACTCACCAAGCTACACGTGTGGCCAACACTCGAGCAAATATTCTGCAAGGAAGGATTAAAATCACATCAAAAAAAAACCATAGTGCAGCTAGTGACTTAGCACAGCGCCTTTACCCAACATCCATTCTAGGTCAATGGAGAGCTCCAGACATTTTGGGATGAGGCCCAAGAACAACCTGTTAATTTCAGAGCCACGCTACTGCAGCAAACTTGCTGACAATTAGCAAACAAACACCAAATAAAAGGAGTTAAAATAATTTTAAATAATTAAAGGATAAAGAAATATGGAAAAACATGCACTGAGTAACATTATTAAATAAGAGGGCTAAGGAAAAAGGCCCCAAAACTGGGCCCCAAGGTCTGTAGCGAAGAGCTGGGGCAGTTTCTGGCCTGGTAGGTTGTATCCTACTGAAAGGCCGGTCAAGGAGCAACCACAAAGCCCTACACAGATGGCAATAGGGCCTTAGATGGGACACTTCACTGGATGCAAAAAGCAATCGCTTTTGCATAAAATTACTCTGCAACCTCTATTTCCAAATATGTAAAATGCTATTTGGGATATTTCCAATTTTGAATTAAAATTCCCCAGCATTTTGTAACCATATTGTGGTTAACTAAGGTCTTTGTTGACAAAAACACCTGCTGAGGTTTTTGCTTAACCTCTGGTGATGAATATAATGTAGCACCTCCCTCCTTATCCCAAACCCTGACATTTTACGTGTCCTTGAAATACTCAGCCTCAGATTTCCCTTTGAATACACTTTTCACTGAAATCATAGTATTTTTTTCAGTTGGGAAAAGACAAAAAGAGAAGAATTGGTTCCCATGTATAAAAACACAGTTCTGAATTATTATTAGATTTTACATTTTTCAAAATTGTAAAAATCAAAACAAACAAAAAACACATCAAATTTCTGTTGAAAGCAAACGAATTTAAGACAGACCGCAACATGCAAGTATAGTCTGTTCTGAAAACAGACTTTGCAAAAATGTCAACTTCAACCAGGAAACCATAAATTCATTACATCCAATTCCTACTTGCTTATTTTATTCAAGAAAAGATAAAATAAAAAGGGCATTAGATTTACAAGTTCAAACTGGAACATCACTCAAAAGGGATTCCTTCCAACTCCGAAGATCCTAAGTCAAGGAATTATAAAAACACTATACTTACAGTTACTGTAAACTACCTCAAACCATGTAGTTTTGTTCTTCAAATTATTGATGTGCTTTAGATGGAAACAAGATGGATAATTGACTTGTCACCTGCCTTCAAAGAGCACATGGAGAAATCAGGTATAAATACCTCTGTCATATACCTTTTTTCCTTCTTCTTCTAAAAGAGAGCCTTAAAATATCTTTCTAAATGATTTCTGGAAACTATCAGCTTAGTTAATACTTGAGAGACAGAGTTGGAACTCATTTACTCCCCTGTATCGTTTCTGAAGTGACATGGCAAAACCAGTCACAAAATTTATCTCGTTGCTAAATGTTCACTTGCATTACAGTAGACAAGTAAAGCAAAGTAAAAAGGGAGCATTTTTTACCACATGGATTTTTCAATCTATTAATAACATGTTTAAGAAACAAAGTTCTTTCCCTCTCCTTCAGCCACCTCTTGACATCCAAGACCACGTGTATGATGAGGCTCCCTATGAAACACAGAAGCAGAGAATTCAGGCCTTATTGCTCAAACTCAGCTGTGAAGTACAGGGCTGGCTTCAAACTTACTTCATGCTGACCTACCACTTGTCTTTTCCAAAGTAAGCAGCCAGGCTGTAGAAAGCCTCCAGGAACTTTTTGCAGTTGCGAGAAGAAAAGCAAGAGCATGACGAGCTCTTATTTGGGGCATGTGTCAGTACTGGAGTTTAGTAATAACTTTAGTAGTAGGGAGAGAGAGGAGTCAGACATAAGCAGGATATTCTGAGCTTAAGGTGGTTTTAAGAGGACACAAGTTTTCAGATGGGGAAAGGTAGGAAAGATAAGGAGAGGCAGGAAGAATTCAGAGGTGACAGAACCACTAGAAGCTGAGAAGGAAGCTCTGCTGCAACTAGGTCTGCTCGAAATGGCAGCCTGAATTTCACTTCCAGAAGAAAAATGGCCTCTTTTTCCTTTCCCACTTCTCTGAAAACCTGCCCTCTACTTCAACAAAATACTGGGCAGCAACAACTCTCCCTTTAAATACTTATTTAAATAAATAAATCAGTAACCAAGGAATACAACACAGTCGGTCCCACTAGCTCCCTTTGGTAATTCCAGAAAGGATATGGCAGGCCAGCTACCAAAATGCAAAGTTGTCAAACTCTTCATCACTGCTCAGGCCAACACTGAATCACAGTGAACTTCTCAACTTGAGCCTCCACAATACTTGAGTGAGGGAGCAGCTCAGCTTCATTGAAATGTTTGCCTACTTCACCACAAGCTTCTACTAGCCCATACACTACCCACCAAAACATCAAATACCAGCTAGGCTCTTCCAAGCAGCTCAGTGGAGGAAATAGAGCAACGATGGCTGCAGTCGGATGGTCATCTGCTCTGAGGCCCCTTTGACGATGGGGCTGCAAAGGCCACATCCTTGATCTGTCCCGTGACCACTATCTCCTCACTGCTTTGAGATCACCCAACATATTCATGAGCCCAAGTTTATGGACAATTTGGTTACAAGAAACTTGATTAAGGAGACCAACTGACTTGCCACAGAGCTCGACAGTAGCGTGCCAGGATTCTGCATGGAAGAGGCAAGCAGCTTGGGCTCCAGCAACTACCACATCCCTTCTTTTTGGCAGAAACAAAGTAGGCTGAAAATACTGGGTTTTTTTCCCTAATCTCAGTGCTTTCTAAAGTAACATCAAATCATTTCATATATATATATATATAAAATGTATTCTTTAAACCTAGCCAGCTCACCAAATATCTCACGTTAGAGAACTCTAACGCACTTTGCTATAACTGACCTAGGCTGACATCAGATATGCACACACGTGTTTAAAACTTACCTCTAATGGTGCTTCTCCTCAAGAAGCCATTTCTTCCCCCTACTACCCTCAAGGCAGACAAGGAGAGATCTTTTAACTCCTCTACATTCTGTTTTGTTATGGGTCATATCTATGCAGCACCAGTCTCTTATTCCACCTCTCTCAGTGGCAGGAAGACATCTCCAATTCTTAGACATATTGTCTAGCCGAAGAACTCAATGTGGGATAGTTTACAGTGCACCCAGTGACACGTAACAGACTCAACAAACTAGAAGGTTACGTTTCCCCCCGCTTGCTTCCCCCAAACAGTGAGGGTTTTCTTTTGCTTTACAGTAGTACATTGAGTTTTCCATGTATTGTAGCTCTCTGCCTGGGTTTTGCCAGCAGCGTAAGCTACACCACCCGCTGATGGGTGTCAGGGATCAGCAGGTGAAAGCCATCAGAATCGAACAACTCGGATTCTGTCATCCTCCTGGCTCTTAATGGGGCTACCTAATAGGACAAAAGGAGTCAGGAACAATACTTTCTGTACAGAAAATACGAGAGGCAAAGATTGTTTCATCCAAACGTTAAGGCTGGCCGTGCAATCAGGCCCTCCCTTGCAGTGGGTGACCCCTGGATTCAATTCCCTTTCCTCTTCCAACCTCCTTCCTTACCTACAAAAGGTTGATAACAGCACTCTGCAGCCTGGAGCATGACCAAAAGATTGAATTTACTACAAATAGAAAAAAAATATATATGTACATGCAAATATGTATGCATACACATATATATGGAAAATGTACACACTCTGGCCTGCAATTTAAGCGAGCAAAATACCAAGTTCTCCAAGTTAAGCACCCAGTTGCAGTGTATATACACATACTAGCTTACACTAAGCAGCTGCTGGCTGCAGTGCTCCGTGTAACATGAGCTTCCTGACTGCCCCAGTCCTGTTCATCATCACATGGGCATTTAGGCTGCACTGAGCAAAAGGAGGACTGAGCTTTTTTGTTCAGTGGCTCCAGGTGAGGGCTGGAGAAACCCTGCCAAGTTGTGTCCTCTTTTTGGCTTGTTTGAAGAGTTAGCATGGGAATTAAGTAACCAGAGAAAGAAGCATTTTACTTGCTATTAGAAAAGAACAACAAGATGTTAAGAATGAGTATGGAAAAGGACTGGGGGGGAATACAGGACTCTGTTTAGGGCTATCAGTCAAACCATCCCTGACACAAAGGATGATGATTTCCCCTTTACACCACCCAGATGCACATTGCCCTGGCCACCAAGATTCCTTTTGGCCACCGGGCAGCCAAAGCAGAGTTATCCAGGGATGAAGATTTTCCAGGCTGTTGGCTCAGAGGCCTCCTTGCCCCACAAGGTTGCTACAGAAGATGGCAGAGAGACTCGGACTCTGAAACACTATTTCCCAAGATCTTCTCAGACCTGATACATTCAGGCTTCGTGCTTGTGGACTGGTCTCCTGGCATGCCAGCTCGCAGAAAAGAAACTGGGAATAGGAGGCTCACACCATGCAGGGAGCTGCGCAATAGGGGAGAGCGCGGCCGAGACGAGAGCAGCAACAGCTTCCTGCAAAGCAACCGGAGCCTGAGCACGAGCCTGCACGCTGGCCTGGACAGAGGGGTATCGGCTAGAGCTGCAGACAACCTCCCGCTGTCTCCGAGGGAAGGTAATGCTCTTGGAAAGCAGCCACGCTGCAAAGAGAGGAGACAGAGGATCAAAAGCCAGACCAGAGCTCATGAGGATCTGGCAAGAGTCTCTGCTGGATCTCCCTGCTAGTCCTAATCATCTGATGCAGATGGAAAAGAACAAACTTGGTGCAACTTTCCTAGAGTCCAAACGGGCTGCGAGAAGCATTCCCTTCCCATAACTGCATGCCAGGCATAAAAAAACATTTATTTTTTTCTTTCAATAGATTAAGTTGTATCCAAAGTGCACATTTGTGCAACGAGGCTGCCCACAAAGGGGCACTGGTGCTTGTGACCACCACTTGCACATAAGCTGCGTGCAGGTGTCCCGCGACAGAGCCAAGCTTCCCCATGAAAACCTATTTCGAGTTCTCCTATCCCGATGCTGACACATTTTGCAGATTTGGAGAGCACGAGTCCATCGCCTGCCCCTCGCTTCGCTTGGGTTTCTCCACCCCCTCCATATATACGCACAGACACACACGCTCAGACATGCAGAAAGGGGAGGGAAGGAAAGATATATGAACGTCTTCCTCTGAGAGCCACAGAGGTAACTAACAACTCCTGTAATTGATATTTGGAACGTCGGGAAACAGTTCCCAGCGGCGAGATCTGCTAGACAACGGAATAATTTTCTCCAGCGAAATGGTAAAAGCTCCCGTACTTGAAATACTTTACATGGACTAAAAGAAATAGCAGAAAAATAAAAAGGAAAGAAAATAAGAGCCCTGCAACTGGCAGTGTGACACGGTCTCTACCACCTGCAATTCCCAGTTTACTACAGGGCAGTAATCGCTCATTTTCTCCTTTTACGTCTGTCACAACAAACAGAGCCACTTTTGAAGCTGTGATTCTGCCACCACCTCCCCTGTCCCCTCCACAGCTTCAGCAGCAGCTCGTCCTCCCCTGCATCATCTTACACAGCCGCAGCCCCAGTCTTTGCTTTCCCACCCTCATAAACAGGAAGATAAAAGGTAAGCTCACCGGTGCAGCAAGCACAGATTTGCAAGGAAACACAGTTTTTCTGGAGATATTATTATCCTTATAAGCTCTCCCGCAAGCCATTTAGCCCAAGGTTTCTGGAGCTTGCCCAGAGGAGCCGGGAGCAGCAGGGGGAGGGCACTGGAGGGAAAGCACCATCTGAAACTCATTAATCAATTTGAATTTTTAAGGGCTTACATCAAAACACGATCTGCCTCAATAAAGTAAACTTTAATCACAAGAAGCCTTTGTCCTTTACAGCACCAAGGCGCTTGCTGCAAGAACGCTCGGCGCAGACCAAACCCGGGTGAAAGCTCAGGTGTTTTTCAAGACTACGCATAGCAGAGGCGATTTTCCTGTCTCGAGAAGGCCATTAAATATATATATTATATATATAAGTCTTCATCTCCCCCAAATAGGAAAGCACACACACACAGCATCACATCTTAAGAGACATCTCTACATGCCTCTTACTGCAAGGACATCACATAAGCAGCATCCCAGGCTAACCCACAGGCAGCAGTTTTGGTTGGTTGCCCATTTCCAAAGCTGGTGCTTCTGCAAGAGAGCTTAACCGAGCGCTTTTGAGCGGGGCAGGTACTTCCAACAGAAAGTCTGCCACTTGAAATATATGTACAGCATATATGCACCCCCCCGTCCCCGGCATATCAGAATGGCTAAAAGCAAGAACTAGGCGCCAGGGGCAAGTGCAGAGCCTTCCTCACATCATCTCCTTCCTCGGTGCTCGCTTTGGCTGGGCTTCCGGTGAGGGTACCACAGCCTAATGCTGCTCCGAAGCCTTTGGGGCCGTCCGAGAGGAATCTAGGAACTAATTTCCACTTAGGAAAAACAACAAAAAACGCGCAACCCACAGGACCAAAACGTTGCTCTCGGCACAGCATCTACTCCGCAGAGAAGCGGCCACGGGAGGTTTAAAGCGAGGGGAAGGAGACGAGGGTATTTCCCCCTTTCCCAAGCCAGCCCCGCGCCGGGGAAGCCCCTCTCCTACGGGAGCCCGGGGGCGAGCTCCGGGCAGCCGAAGGAGGCGGAAAACCGGGGAAAAAAATAAA